ACACATACTCCATAGAATACTATTCAGCCATAAAAAACAAGACTTGGGGCCAGCAGTTAGCGTAATGGCTATGTCACTGGATTCCCATGTAATCAACCATGGTTCGAGTCCTGGACCTGGTGGCTTAAAACTCAACACCGGGTGCATGTGCGTGAGTGCCCAAGACCCCGAGAGGATAATGGTGAAGGGATTGCAGCGTGGCCATCCACCCTGCGGGGGGTGTGTGATTTCTTGCTTTCAGTCTCTCTGTCTCTCTCTGTCTGGCGAGTGCACACGCCCTGTAGCAAAAACCTTTAAAAAACCACACACGTCTATAAAAATAGGTAGCCAAGAATAATAAAACACACACATTCTCACTGTCTCAAATGAAAGGCACTGACATTTTGTTGTATCACAACTCAGGTTATGAAAGACATTGTATGTCTCCAGTTAACATATATCAACTGTCCCCACTCGGGTAGAAACTGAAAAATTGGAGGACATAAAAGCAGTGAAAGTAGTTATGGACACTGGAGACAGTGTGGGAGGAGGGTAGGAGAGGGGAAGAGTGTAGGGAGGGAAATTAGGGAGGAAAAAAATGCAGAGATAAGACATTTGTGAGACCCAGAAATGGTTTATTACCTGTTGATAACATGTATCATATTCTCACCCGAACTGGTCTGAGATGTACTTCATGTTGGATAAATTCTCTTTATAAGCTAAATTATGTATATTCGATTGAATGGTTAAAAAAAAATCATGCCAGGTGTGTGTGTGTATGTGTGTGCATGCCCAAAATCCAAAGAGGGGAACGGAGAAGAGATTGCAGTGTGGCCATCCCCCGGGGGTGGGGGGAGGAGTGATTTCTCACTTTCCCTATTGCTGTCTTTGTCTGTCTGTCTTTGACGATGGCACACACCCTATGGCAAAAACCTAAAAAAATAAAGAGTGAAATATGTTTTAAATTCCAGCAATTCCATTTCTAGTTATTTGCTCTTGAGAATTGTCTGCATGTGTATACTCAGAGATATGTAGAAAAATGCACATTGGTATCATATTGTTTGTAGTAGAAAAACTGGGAACCTAGCCAAAATAAAATAATAAATTAATTGTGATGTATTAATATGTAAGAACATATTATAGCCATGGAAATGAACCAATTATAGCTTTTCACAGCAATGTTGATGAAGCACATAGCTACAGTTAGGCAAAACAAACCTGTGAAGAATAAATACAACATTCCATTTATATAAAGATAAAAACATTAAAACTGAACTGTATTTTTTAGGGTTGTATACATAAGGGATGGTACTATATTGAAAAGTAGTAAATGGTTATTACTAAAGTCAGGAAACTGTTCTTTAGTGTGGGTTTATGGTCAAGCATAACACGGTTGGGGCAGCCTTCTAGGGTACTGACAGTTCTGTTTCTTGACCTAGGTGATGGCTTCATGGGGGTTTAGTTCATATTTATTCTTTATACAGAAGAAGAAATCCACACTTGTATGTTTTATATATATATATATTTATATTTCTTTATGTATGATGTATGATTACAGGTGGGGACATTCAATAAGTTTATAGAAAATGGAATTAAAAGATAAAAATTTAAAATAACAAACTTCTCAACAAAAGCTCCCTCAAAAATCAAGATACTTTTATAAGCAATGATGTGAGCCATTTAGTCCATCCTTAAAGAAGACATTTAACCAGAGCAGTGCATACATTTTAGGAGATGAAACATAGCTTTCCTGGTAGGATCTTGAAGGGAATTGAATTATTCCCTTCAATTACTAATTGAAGGGAAATGGGTGCCCTTTAAGATTTCTTTAAGATTAGGAAACACAAAGAGGTCCGGAGCTCAATTTAGACTGCAAGGTAGATGCCTAATGATTTCCCATTGGAACTCTTGCAGAATTGCCCTTGTTTGATAAAACGAATGAGTAGAACATTGTCATGGTCAAAGACCCTCTGTTGAAGTTTTTCCGGCTACAGTGTTAGCTAGCTTTCTCCAAACTCTCATAATAAGCAAATGGTATTGGTCTTAGGCCCTTTAGAAAGTCAACAAGCAAAATGCTTTGAGCATCCCAGCAAAATGTTGCCATGACTTCTGCCCTTGACAAGTTTACTTTTGCTTTGGACTACTTCCGCCTGTTGGTTGCTTTGATTGTGCTATTTCTTCAAGATCCTACCAGTAAAGCTATGTTTTATCTCCTAGAAGAAATGCTTCAAGGGACCAGAGGTGGCACAGTGGGCTCACATGGGAAGGTCCCTGGCTCATGTTCTGACACCTCCCAGTACATGCTGGATGTGTGCCCATGATCTGAGCTGACACTAGGAATGGATTGTGGTATGAGGACCCTGTGTGTGTCTTAGGTGTGTGTTTGCCAGAAAGGAACAGAAAGGGAGAGGGAGAAGGTATCTCCCAGAGGGGTGTGATCATGCACATCCCATCTCTTCCATGTCTCCATTCTGTTGGGATTTGGAGCACAAACATGTACCTGGTATGATTTTAAAGCCGCTGGGTCTGGGATTCAGACCACAGTCAGCTGTGTGGGATCTGGTTCCCTTAACCACTGGGCCACAGAGCTGGCCCATTGATAGAAAAAAATTTTTTAAAAGAAAAATGCTTCAGGGTCTTGTTTCAAATTTGGACTGAAAGCTCTGCTCTTGGCTGTAGCTTAATCTGGGCACAACAGTCTTGGCACCCATGGAGTAGAAAGTTTGCTCACCTTTTACCTTTGTGCAAGCCAAACCAATTGAGATGGCTGTTGTTTTTTGCTGTTAATTGTTACTACCCTTCAATCAGGGCAGGACTTAGATGACTGTTTTCTTGCAAATTAATGCTGTTGGTCTGCCACTTGGGGTGTCATCTTCAGTATTACCTGTTCCCTTCTTAAAACTGTTACCTTTTTTGTAAATTGCTGATTTCTTTCAGGCATTTTCCCCATCAGCTTCTCCACTCTTCCACCCAAGCTTCATAAATTTCATGTTTGTTCTTGTTTCAATTTTAGCAGCATTCATGTTGTTCCTTTAAGGACTCTTTTCAGAATGATATATTATTCTTCTTGGTGATTCAAGCTATAATAGATCCTGGCCAGACATGTTGTAACAACTTAATGTAAGTTTGTTGAAGTTAAGAAAATTTGAAATTCATCCTTTTTTTTCCACAATATGCATTTTCCACGAACTTTTTCAAGAAGAGTTAAAAATATAATGGGTGCTGGCCCATGCATTTTCCATGAACTTTTTTAAGAAGAGTTAAAAATATAATGGGTGCTGGCCGGTGGCACCACAGTGAAACTTAGAGCTCTGTGAGGCTGACACACATGGAATGGTTTTGGTTTTGAATTCCTGTCAGCATAACTTCCTGAGTGTGACAGACGCCCACATGCCCTAGGCTGGCTGGAGATGGAGGTGGATTACGGTGTCAAAACCCTGTTTGGGGTGTGCTTGTTCTCGCTCTTTAGTGTCTCTTTCACTAAAGAAATAATTGAATGAACTTTGTGTGTGTGTGTCTATCTATAATAGATGTAAAATGAGTACTTCGTTTTACACGGCTCTGATTTCAGTTTCAGAAAGGAATTTTTTTTTTTTTTTTTTGGCTCTGATTTCAGTTTCAGCAAGGAATTTTTTGTTTTTTTTGAGAGATTGTTGCTATAGGGTGCGTGCGCTCGCCAGAAAGACAAAGAGAGACAGAGAGATAGAAAGCGAGAAATCACCCCCCAGGGGGGATGGCCACACTGCAGTCCCTTCTCCTCCATTCTCTTCTTGGAATCTTGGGCACGCACGCACACCTGCCTGGCATGAGTTTTAAGCCACTGGGTCCGGGACTTGAGCCGCAGTCCGCTACATGGGAGTTCAGCAACATAGCCATTACGCTAACTATTGGTCCCTATCATTAGATTTCTAAGCTCAGTGTTTGGAATTAGAAATAATCAGTTTGAATATGCAAGTCCAAGAAAAGACTTGGTTTGAAGAGAGGTTTATTTATTTTTTTGTAAGTTTATCTTTTGTTCCTGATTCCGATAGGTGATCTGAATGTAATATTTGTTGCTTCATCTAAGGGACCAACTTTGCAATAGTTCTTTTTACTTAAACCTCACCAAACCCTGCATCACTTCTGTATTAGTTACCTGTTGCTTCAAACCAGTTGCCACATATTTAGTGGCTTAAAACAGAACTGTGTGTTATCTTGTGGCTTCTTTTGTCAGGAGTCCAGACATGGCTTAGTAGGGTCCTCCTCTCAGGGTCTCACAAGGCTGACAGCAAGGCTGATCTGTGTTCCATTCTGGAGCTCAAGGTCCTCTTCCAAGCTCATGTGGTTATTGGCAGAATTTATTTCTCTGTGGTTGTGTGACAAGGTCTCCAGTGTCTTGCTGGCTGTTGGTGGGGATTGCTTTCACTCTTAGTAGCTTCTTGCATTCCCTTGCCATGTGGCCCTCTTGCCGGCCCACAAGTCATAGCAGCTTGCTTTTTCAAGGCTAACAGAAGAATGTCTTACCAGTCTGGAGGCAAATTTTTATATAACCTAATCATGGGGATGATTGTCCATTACCTTTGCCATGTTCCATTGGCTAGAAGCTAGAAACAAGTTCTGCCTGTACTCAAAGAGAAGGGATTGTACAGAGTTGGTTATTGAGAAATACCTGTAGGGTATTCCACCACAAGCCCCCCAAAATAGGGACCTGGTGACCTCCCCACCGTGTCAATAGCCATGATCCTCTAACCACTACAAGTGACAAAGGTCCATATGTGCCTCTTCAGATGGCCTTTGTTTTATGACAAAATATATTATTTGGATTTTTAAAATAGTAATTATTTTTCTAGTAAGCAGAACAAAGATCTTAAAAAGTCTTTACCTTAGACCTCTAAGACTCTAAAAAATTAATATAGATATTGTTGGGGCCAGCAGGTGGCGGGGTGGTTAATATAAATGTTGATATAGCAGATGCTTCATTATGTGATTGTGTGTGACACCAAGTCTCTTATGTGCTCTGTCAAATCGCTCTTACTCTTCAGTGCAGGAATCTCAGCCACGGCCCCCACCCTCCAGGATGTGGTCGACACGGCGTCTGTGCACATGAAAACAAAGAACTTGCCAAGGCAAGAGAAGTGCTTCCTCTTATAGAGGACTCTAGTAACTGTGACATCGTCAAAGCTACTCAGTAAGTCTTCCACATGCTTTGCTGGAGCCTTCTGTTCTGTGGAATTACAGTAGTGTGTGCCGTTCATGGCAGTCCTTGGGTTTACCTTCCTCACTTCATGCTGGCAGTTTATTAACACCAGCACCAGGTGTGTCTGTCACACTCGTAACAGAGCCCCTGATACAGCGCATCGTAACTGCTTGTGTACCAGGCTCTCCCGTCCAATAGTGGTCAGCTTCTTGGCAAAAGCTTGTCTTCGTCCTTGTGCTCCAGGGATTTTGCACAGTTTCTGTCTTGTATTAGGTGTCCACTAAGTGGTTATTGAGTGAACGAATGATTCTAAATCACACTAAGACTAGACTGAATTTATTGGGTTGTTGGGAACGGCATGGCATGGTTTTACATAGAAAAATATGTCATGACTTTCCTGACAACCTAATCATTTAAAATGTACGACACACTACATAGGTATTAAGTTATCAGGAAAGTCATGACATATCTTTCTATTTTTCTATGCAGAAATGCATTATGACTTTCTAGATGACGCAGTAGGTGCGATGGGCAATATTAACTCAAATGTTTATGGCTATTTTTAAAAGTTTTTATTGAGTGCTTGTAGAAAGGCAATAAAGAGGAAATGTGTTCTGTGATTACTTGGAACATGGTAGGTTGTTGCTGAAAATAAAAGTACATTTTTAAAGTTTCTCCTTAGGATTTCCGTACATGGGTACTTGTGATAAGGTACCCTTGTGGATCATGTTGATTATTAACATCCACCCCAGCCCATGCCGTTCACCATGTTTTAAAGTATTTGTCTGTCAGACTACATTAAGTAGTCATCCATTTTCTTAGTAATCAAATATACATCTGCCCTTCTAATCATCATGAAAAGAACTAATGTTCCCAAACTAATTTATATCATTTCTATTAAAGGCAAAGGTGTTCGTTGATTGATTAGCCTATTTGACCTTAACAGAGTCTAATGTATTATTTATATTAGTTTAAAAATAGATTGACAGTGGGCCAGCAGGTGGCATGGTGGTTAAGGTGCTGTACTTGTACAAGGCTGACCACAGTTTGAGTCCCAGACCTGGCAGCTTGCTTTCTCTTTTTCTCTCCCTCTCTCCCTCTCTCTTTTTCTGGTGAGCATACATGCACTATAGCAAATTTAAAAATGATAATAATGGGCGTGGTGTTTAAGGGCATTGGACTGTCACATGGCTGACTGTGGTTCAAGTCCCGGACTTGGTGGCTTGGTTTCTCACTTTCCCTCTCTCTCTCATG